CCTTGCAGGATATTGATTGCGATAGTCCGTACAAATCAGTGTGTTTCTACCACTTGCTTACTTACATATATTTCACACATACATAAGCACATGTGGACCACGTGTTTAATTAAGTACTAAGTAGTGTTCGGATGCGGTGAACTACTAGATCATGAGCGCAAGATACTCTCCGAGCCAACCACACGCTTCACTCATGGTAGGTCAGGTCAATCAAGGGTATCCTGGTTCAGACATACCCTCAGAGTTCGGGATGACCTTGGTCAGAACAAACCTTGACGTTGATGTTGAGCCTGTCAGCGCTTGTGGCGTAGACCACGGAGCAAGCCATCTGGTGATGAGAAGTTGCTGGTTGGTAATGGGCGATACTGGTACTGTTTGGTCATGGGTTGGGTTGGGTTGGGGTAGGTAAAGGCAAGGAGGTTGTTACGGGTAAGTTGGGAATCTACCCGACTTTTGACGGTGAGGCTATCAGATTGGAATTGGGGATAACAACTTCTATGTATGATTATCGTTTGTTTTTGTAAGGAATTGAGTTTTTGCTTTTACTCCTGTAATGTGCAGAGAGTGTGTGATAGAGTCATGGTTTCTTATTCTGATCCCGCGGGACTGTAACTGGCAGGGATTGGGTAGATCATACTAACGGTGTCTACTAGTACAGCAAGTACAGTAGTAGTAAGTAGTGGTAGTAGAGGGTGTGATGGGAGATCTACTTCCTACTTACCAGGCGGATCCCTGAACTAGTGGCCTCGCTTAAAAATGCAAGATGGGAGAGATGTATCACAACGCAATCGAGAACAGAAACTCAAAGATGTGACTTGAAGTATTCAATTGAAGTCCTTTCCCCCTTAGCCTCGGTTGGCGTCCTCGATGTCATATCGACCCGTCACTGGGGAAATTGCATATTGTATCGATCCATCTCCTCGGTGCTCAAGGCAGACAGGCAAACAATAGGCAGACCTTGGATCTCAATATACTGAACTCTCAGAATCTACGAGAAAAAAAAAATATTTACAAATGTAGGAAAGAAGATGGAAGCAGGAAGCAATGTGAGGGCTCAGCTGCAGGGTTTGGCAAAAAGTACAGAATTACTGTAGATAGATAGACTGCACATGGACGTTGACGGGGAAGACAGGGAAAAAAGAACAGTTTTCGGTGCCAGTCAGTTGGGAAACGATGGATCGACAGTGAGATACACTCCTTTTGGGTTTTAGTTTAACACAGTTTACTTCTCGAGGCAATTGCTGGGAATTGTTCTTTTCTTTTTCTAGTCGGCGATGGTCGGAGTGATTGGCCAGACCAGTTCTAGGCTTGTCTGATAGTCACCGGGAAGCTAATCCTGAAGGAGATTGGGACTTTTTCCCCCCCGTGTCTGTCTCTCTCTGTTCTGCCTTTCTGTCTTGGTTCTCGACATTATTCTCTTTCTCTCTCCCTCCCGTTTCTCCTCTTCTTCTCCCCTCTCATCTTTTAGCCCTTCTTCTTCCCTTCCATTCGGCTTCTTCTGGGTTGGGACCCTTGGACAGTGCACTTCCTCTATTCTTTTCTTCCTCATCTTATACCTACTTACTATCTCTTTTGACGTTTTCTTTAATCAGCTTCCCCCGGAGTGTCAACGAATCAGTTTTGGCGCCACGGGTCCAGCCACATCTCTTTGCAACCACTCCTTTTCCTTGGGCTTCTTCCTTCCCCTCCTCCTCTTCTTCCTTCTCCGCCTCTCCTCTTTCTCCCTCTTCTCCCAGTCGTTTAACTCTCGACTCTTCTCTGCCCCTCATCGAAGCTCATCCATCTTCTTTCCCATCCACTTAACTTCCCCCCTAATTCACCTACCTCGACATTATTCCACTTTCTTCCAATTTCTCGACCGGTCCTGCTTCTCGGATCCCGACACTGCTAGCCGTCTGCCAACCGCCGTCGGCCTATAATAGTGCCCAGCCCGGAGTTACGTCCACGGTACCCATCCCGCCGGTCCCTGACTTCCTCTTCCACCCCCCGGGAATTACATATTGCGCTGCAATTCTAAGGCTCCGGCTTCTCCACTTCCCTGGCTGTTTACGATTTCCTCCTTTCGGAGCATCTCTCGTGTTCCGCTTCTTCCCCCCCTTTCCCACCGACTCGTGCCCTCTATCTCCCAACCACCTTACCCCTCACATCGTACATACACTTGTTGGAGTCTCGGCTTAGGGGGTCTTCGAGACAAACGGTCCAGCACGATTGCTGTTTCTGGTCTGTGCGCTACTGGGATGGCCTGATCGGGGAACAAGACGGGAAGGGCAAAAAAATTATTCACCTAGTGATCAGACTCTCTTTAATCGTCCTGCAAGCACCTTCGCCGCACCACGGGTTCCAGCTGGCCTGGCCTTGACTGAATCTTAATAATTGCTGTTGGAATGGCGGGGACAGCTACCGCGACTTACACGACAGATGTTTGGACGTCACCCAGCGTAGATGGGGGTCAGTGGGAGTACGCCGTCCCGATTCGACAGGATGTAAGTGTGTTACACTCCCGACATACCTTTCTGCGGTGCTCTGATGCAATCGCGCCGATCGTCCCGGCCTTCACGGGCCAAAAGCCGGACTGGCATGCTAACCTGGGTTTCGGTAGAGTACTAAGCATCGCTCAAAATCACGGTCCTCCCACGATTCACACGCCAGGTCCAGGGAGCGTAATTCCAAGGGCTCTCGCAGCTCCTCGCTATCGCGTCACGCCTATGCTCACGAGCACTTGACCTCCCGGGGCCGCCCACAAGCCAGCCACAGCCGACGCGGAAGTGAAGCAGGCAGCTCACGCTCAATCTACGGACACGATGTAGCCAGTCGTAGCGCCGGCAATGTCAAAGACTCGACGGATACTCTTTATCGGAAGGGGTCGGTGAGGCACGGCGAGTGGCACGAGGGAATGGGCATGTATACGGACGAGATCGACCAGGACAATTGGATCCATCGCGACAAGCTGGCCAAGATTGAGAGCGAGGAGCTGCAGCAGGCCGCCATTCTGCTACAGCGTCGGGCTGGTGAGGGCAACAAGACGCGCGCAAAGAACTACGACTTGTATGGAACGCCTGCCACCTCCCCTCCGACCGAGCAACTGGAACCCTGGCCTAGTTTGCACGGCGATTCCCAGCTCCGGGAACATAGCGGCTCTCCAACCTTCCCAGATGAAGGGGAAGAGCGTGGAAGGTGGGATTCTCGTCGACAGGAAGAAGGCATGGCCAATGGAGCGGCTGGCTTCTACCGCAACCCCGGACTTCGCAAAAGCTCTTCGCGGATACCCATTCCCTCAGGTATCCCAGTACCGGTCTCTCCCAATCCCGAGAACGGTGGACGGGAATTCTCCAAGCAGCGCAGCCGCGCGAATACCCACGGAGATGACGATGCTTTGTCCTTCGGGATGCCCCGTCGGGCTAGTGAGCCGATGTCGGTGGACTCTGCCCAGAACATTACTCCGGCAGGAAGCCGGCCTGGGAGTCGCGGGAACACCCTACAAAATGCGGCCGGTAGGAAGACCACCAAGGGCGGTGCTACCAATCGCAAGACGTCGGCTCCTCCGTCGACTACACGAAAGGCGACCCCGAGAAGCCGGGCACCGTCTAGCACGTTGCGGGCCACCAAAGCCGCTGAGAATCGTCCCATTAACCGGCCGGAAGGCGATCCTCCGTGGTTGGCGACGATGTACAAGCCCGATCCACGTCTTCCGCCTGACCAGCAGATTCTTCCCACACATGCACGACGCATGCAGCAGGAGCAGTGGGAGAAGGAAGGCAAGACGCCTACCACGTATGATCGGGAGTTTGCTCCGCTAGCCATCGGGCCGGACGGGCCAAAGCCCTCTGAGAAGCCGGCACCCAAGGAAGAGGAGCCGGAGCCGGAGCCGATCGAACAGAACGAAAAGGTGGAGAAAGAAGAAGTGCAAGAGCAGAAGACCCCGAACTTGGAGACACCGGCCAAGGAGTCGGGACGGCCGAATTCCGGCACGGGCTACAGCACGATGCCGCGGGTACATGAACCACCACAGGCGGCGCTGCAGCCAAAATGGAGCCCGCCAGTGGTGACTGCGCAGGAACCGCCGCCGAAGGAGAAGGGCTGCGGATGCTGCATCGTGATGTAGGGGGAGGACGCATTCGTTTTGAGTGGCATATGTCCGTCATTTAAGATACCTATTTCCTGCATTGTGGATTTGTTTTTTCAGCGAGCTGGGTGGTGTTTGATCTGACTAGGATTTTAATAGCTATCCACCTTTTACTTCTTGTCGTTCCTTGGAGACTTTTACTCTCATTTGATTCCCTATCTGTTGATTCCAGTGTTTGTGCACTTGCATTGAGCGGTCATTACGACATCACGCGTCTTTCCTTGAACATGCATTGATTTTCTTTGTGCATATCGTTATAGACAATTCACAATTATATTATATATTTATTGCAATTAGTATACAATAAGTATACATCTGATTATATACATAGCTAAGTGACCGTTCTAGAACCCCCCATATAACCCATCATTAATAAGCCACCCCCCCAGCACCCCTCATTACATAATCACCCTAGCGCACCTTGCGTAATCCGACCATCCGCTCTCCTCATTCCATCATTCATCCATTCATTCATTAATTTATTCCATCCTATCTGATCGATTCCATCATCCCGCCGAAACCTTGATTAAACCCATTCCACCCAATCTTATAAATAACCCCACTTCCCCCCCCTCTTCTTCTCTTTTCAATAGACTACCAGTCAATACCGCCACCATTTCCTCCATCTTCACCCGTCTCTTCGGCTCTTTTGCCGCTCCTTCTCCCACCATGTCCGCCGCTGCTAAGACTAAGGCCCAGACCTTGATTAATGAGAATGGCGTTGGTAGGGCACCCCCCTCCTCTTCCCAGCATTGAAAAAAATATATTGTGTCATACATGATGTCTTAGTGTAACGTTGTGTGGAGAAACCAATGCTAATATGTTATGGTATAGTCGTCTTCTCCAAATCCTACTGCCCCTACTGCCAAGCAAGCAAGAACTTGCTGAATGAGCTCGGTGCGAAGTACACTGCTCTTGAGTTGGATCAGCTGCGTAAGATGCCCCCAATCTCCCCTCTGCTTTGGTTTAGTTGTGGTCTCTGTGTATATGGTATAAGGGCTATGCTAATATGAATTTTGGGTTATAGCCGACGGAGCCGATCTCCAGGACGCCCTTCAGGAAATCTCCAACCAGCGCACCGTCCCCAACATCTTCATTAGCCAGAAGCACATCGGTGGTAACTCGGACTTGCAGAGCAAGAAGGGTGCGGAGCTGAAGGGGTTGTTGGAGGCTGCTGGTGCTTTGTAGACTATATACTATATCATCCATTATCTTTGAATGATATATTTGCGAAGCAGTGATTGGGGTGTAATGATAGATAATTGATTGATGCTATCAGATCAGATCAGATCATATATAATACATACATATACTACATACACAAACAGCAGACATAGGAAAGGAGTAGAGGTTGGAGAGGGAGAGAGAGAGGATTATACAGTCCCAACCGGCCTCTCCACGACGCCCATAATCCCATCCACCACACTGCGTCTAGCCCCCTCACTCGAGACATTCTTCCCGGCCAAATAATTCAACCACACCAACCGACTCACCCTCTCATCCTTGACCCTACCCAAATACCGATCCGGCAGCGCATCCTTCCCCTCACCACCACCCTGAACCAATACATCCAACTGGCCCTTCTTCCCTCTCGCCAACACTAACACCTGTCCCTTAGGCACACTCTTCCTCTGCCCACCTCCAAAAAGGCCCTTAAACTCCCCCATAGCCTGACCAAACTCCTCGCCCTCAAACTCCCCCTTACCACCACCCTCAACCTTATTATACCTCTGCGCCCTACCCGTAACCCCCCTCACCCACCCATCTCTCAAATGCAAGAAATCCGTATTCCGCGTCGGCACGACCCGAAACGCCGTCCTCAACCCATCCTTCTTCAACAGCACATCCCACGCCTGCTCCCCCTTCTCCGCATCCAACAACAACTCCCTCAACTTCTCCCTCTCCATCGACACCAACGACGTCGCAGCCGTAGCCCCCACCTCATTATCAATCACCGACTCCGTGCCCTCGCCCGGAGGATGCACCGCCGTGCGCACCAGTCGTGATTGCAGCTCCGCCAAGTCGTCCTTCGCAACATACAATCCCACAACATACACCTGGAAATTGAGGAACGAGACAGTGCGAATACCCAGTCCCAGGAGATGGTATTCCTCCCCATCACCCTCCTTTCCATTACTCTCCGCAGACAAATCCGTCGCAGACGCAGGAGTCTCCTCACTCTCCAACCACTTCGGCAGATGAATCACCGCCGGGAAATGCGGGATCGAGCTCGTTCCTGTCTTCACTTGGTCGGGGTTTCCGCTGGCGGATTGGATGTGCGTTAGCGTGGGCTTTGTGGGAAAGCCGGTGCTGGGGCCGTCGAGTTTGGTGCTGCCGTTTGTGGTGGTGTTCTCGATTTCGACGCCGTCGGTGGTAGTGCTGCTGGTGGGGGTTACTTGTTCCAGACCGAATACGTCCGCTTTGATCACCCCGTACATTCCGACGGCACATACGATCATCCCTGTCGCTGAGATGTACATTGAGCGTTTGCTCCGCGCGAGGTCTTGTTCGCGGCTGCGGGGCGCGCGGGCGGCGCTGCGGAGGGGGTTGCTGGCTGTGGTGTTGCTGGTGCTGGTGCTGGAGCGGAGGGTGCGGGTTGTGCTGTAGAGGCGGGTTTTGGGGGGGTTGGTGGAGGCGTGGAGGTGTTGGGTGCAGGTGCGCCATTGAGCGCGGGCGGCGCGGAGGGAAGGGGGTATCGGTGGCATCTTGTTTGTTTGTGTGTGTTGTGTTGGTTGAATTGGTTGGGTTGGAGATGGATGTAAAGTCTGGAGTATGGGGATGCGGTGGAAGTGAGCGGATCGGATGATTAGGGACACGTGATTAGAGCTGCCCTGATTGGACGGTTGAGCTAGTATAGCATATGGTAGGAATTGAGGTGGGTTGAAGGTTACTATGCTATTTACTATCCTAGTATAAGTACTGCGTAGTGATAATGTAATCACTGCTACTGCTACTGCACCTCCACCTTGTACGTTCCTCCTCCGCTGACAGTCACTGTCGCCGTCGCGTTGGCATACTGCACCCCCCGGGTGATCTCCGTCCCGTCGATCTTGATAGATGGCTTTGCAGTGCCGACGAACGGCAGCGTGAGGTTTCCCTGGGTCCCGTGCGGGACCGTAAAGTCGAGCGTGTATCCCTTGTCTGTCTTTGACCATCCAGCCTGGAACTTACCAAGCGAGGTCGTAAATCCACCCTCGGCGGACTGCAGATCGACAAACTGCGGGGCAATGCGCCAGGTCGCCCCCAGTGGAGATGTGACAGTGATCCCCACGATGTAGTTCGTCAGCGCCGACGTCGGTCCTGATGACCAGCCGTGCGAGTGTGATACATATGCCGTGTCATAGTAGTACCCGCGGTTACCGCGGTATCCGAACGTGCCGTTCTGTAGATAGCCTTCGATGACCGTGCTCTGTGTGCCGTTCGCGTTGTTGTAGTACCATCCCCAGCTGCGGCGGATTAGCTCCAGTGCTCGTTGGGGCTGTCCCACGGTCAGATGGCCCTGTATCTCGAACGAGGAGATGAATGGGGAGATGTTCTCTGGCAGTTCGGGTGCCACGGCTCCAATCGGGGTCCAGTTGTCCGTTAGTCTTTCAGAAATGCTGGCGGCCCGGTCCGCATCCACGACCCCGAAGAGCAGAGCCATGCTGTTTGCGTCCTGAGGGTGCAGGGTGGTGTCGGTGGCGTTGTCTTTGAAAGCGCCGTACGATTCGTCCCAGCAGTATTCGTTGATGGCTTGACGCAGCTTCTCGGCTCGGCTAGTCCAGGTGCTGGACAAGTCGCCTGAATCTCCGGCCCAGGTGGCGAGCTCTGCGCCTGTGTTGAGGGTGTGATACAAGCTGGGACTGTTAGAAGGTAATGAGTGCATAGTTAGGGCATTACTCACATCATCTGCGCCTCGGAGTTGTTGTATCCCTGCTGCCATCTGGCCCAGTCGCGCGTGCCCGTGACGTTCAGCAAGCCGCTGGGATAAGTCACCTTGCCGTAGATGTAGTCCATAGCCTTCTGATAACCCTCCCAATTTTGCTCGAGGAAATCGCTGTCGTTGGTATAGAGCATGTAGTTGTAGGTCCCGACCATCGTCCACATGTGGTACGTGTCCGAGTCTTTTTGGCTCAGCGGCGGGCCAGACTCGTCGAATGCACCTGTCGAGTTGTCCTGCATAGTGTTAGTATCTGAGAAATAGCACAATCGCAATGGTGTGATTTTACCTGAGTGTCGTACATAACCTGCAGCGCATTCTTGACACTGTCCAAGTCGCCCAAACTCACGAACGCCGAAGGCACAGCAATCCCCATGTCACCCGGCCATACCGCACGGTCACGCTTCGCTCCGTCGACAATGATCGTATCACCAGGTCCAAGGGTGCAATTGTTTGCCCAGCCTTCGGCCATCGCCGGGATCTGACGCCCCGTGTCGGTCGGCACCTCGTTCGTCTGCAGAGTGTAGGCACCAGTGTACCAGATCTTGTTGAGCAAGTCGTCATTGGAGTGGAAGTACCCCTGGTAGGCCTTCAAATTGGACCAGGTAGGCTGAAAGCCGATCTCCAAGCTCACATCCTCGATGTGAATGGTGGAGTTGTCGCTGGTGATCAGGAAAAGAGTCAGATAGCGAAATCCACCCCGCAAGCTCTTATCCGGCATCACATAGTAGTGGCTTCCGGCTTCGGTGAAATTACCGTAGAGTGCACCATCAGGGCCTTTGAAGCCTCCATTTGACGAGTCCGACCATTCCCCAATGTAGTTCTTCGCTTCGGTGAAGGCCACTCCTAGTGCACCACTGCCTGTGGAGCTGAAGTTTACAGAAACAATGCCGCCAACCTCTTTTCCAAAGTCATAGACCACCAATGACCCGTTTCCATGAAGCGCAAATGGGGTATAGTCTTCCGTCTTATCCGGTTGCGTAATGAGAAAGAGCTTCTCAGGGTTCAGAGTTCTCGACGATGGTGCGAAAATGTTCTCCTCCCACGGCCCGGAGAAAGCGCTGTCGGTCGGACCAGAGCAAGTGGTGTTGCGCCAACAGCTTTGAGCAACTGAGAGAGGAAGCAGAGCGAGCACGCCCGACAAGAGCCTGTGGCAGCGCATGGTTGCTGTTTTGTCTGTTCCGCAGACTGCAGCACCAATTACCACACAGAGCAATATCCATTCTCCACCAGACACACGGGTCCATATAAACGTCTCGGCTCGAGATAATGATCCCCCGGGCTTTTGCCCAGAAAGCGAAGAGGGGTCGTTAGCTTCGAAGGATTAATATCGCTGGAGTGCTCGTGCGGGACGGATCGATTGGCTTAACGGGCAGTCTGGGGTAAATTAGTCAGGTCAGTCTCGGCTGAATGGCAGATTGAATCAATCAAATATAAGCGAACAGGCAAGCTTTTCCACACGTTCAGGGGTGCGGCGTTGGTTGGCTGCGCAGCAGCAGACTAGTAGGCATGCCGGCGTCATTGGTGGAATATCCTACAGAGAGCCCGTCGATCGTGCATAAAGGCGTCATTCAAATGCCAGTGCATGGAGTCCTCCCCGGGTTTTCTCCGCACAGGGAAATTGGTGATTTTAGTGGGATTTGTAGTTCGGTAGAAATAGCACCGAAGTCTGGTCTGATCGTTCATCACCTCTAATGGAAGCCCCGGTCAGCATTCAATAAAGGAACCACTGCTCCCAGACACTTACAGCGCGCATCACCCGCGTTCATAATGCAACTGACAGCTTCAGTTTCGCTCTTGCTCCTGGGGCTGGCCTCCGTTGGCCATGCAGGCAATGTGGAAAATAACCACAATGTCTGCACCGTGCGAGCAAACGGGGGCCATCATGACGACGTCCCCAATATAATGGCGGCGTTTGAAGAGTGTGGCAATGGAGGTACCATCATTTTCCCCGAAGACCAATCGTACTGGATTGCGACAAGACTGCATCCAACCTTGAAGGACGTTGCAATCGAATGGCGGGGAAAGTGGACAGTAAGACTCCCTCACTGTCCATCTCGTGACCTGTGAAACACTGATTCAGTCCAGTTTTCCGACAATCTCACCTACTGGCGTAACAACTCCTACCCAGTTTCGTTTCAAAACCACCATGCGGGCTTCATTATCAGCGGCGACAACATCACTATCAATGGCTATGGCACCGGCGGCATTGACGGCAATGGAAATACTTGGTACACAGCCGAGAAGGGCGACACGCAGCCGGGGCGTCCGATGCCGTTTGTCTTCTGGAATGTGTCTGAAGTGATTGTTGACAGCTTCTACGTCAAGGATCCGCCTCTATGGAGTATCAACATCATGAACGGGACCAATATGCGCTTCAACAACATCTACTGCAATGCCACGGCTGTGGATGCCCCGTGGGGTGACAATTGGGTGCAGAATACGGATGGTTTCGGTATGTTTTCTCTATCCTTATTAGTGGCTTGGACTGGGATTGACTAGTGTCTCGTACTCAGATACTATGGACGCTGTCAACATCCAGCTCACCAACTTTGTCTACCAGGGCGGAGATGACTGCATCGCTATCAAGCCCCGCTCTTACAACATCGACGTCCAGAATGTCACCTGCCGTGGTGGCAACGGCATTGCCATTGGCAGCTTGGGCCAATACTTGGAAGATAGCAGCGTTGCTAACATTCGTGTGGACAAGGTCAATGTACGTGATGTTTTCCCGGCCACCACATTGTTAGTAGTACTAACGGTAATCAGATCCTCCGATACAACGAAGACATGCACAACAGCGCCTACCTCAAAACCTGGGTCGGAGCTCTCGTCCCCCAAAGTTCCTACGAAAGCGCTGGTGTGCCTCGTGGCGACGGCTGGGGCAGTATCCGTAACGTCCTGTTCTCAAACTTTAACGTACAGGGAGCGAGCGCTGGCCCTTCCATCAGCCAGGACAGTGGAGACAACGGTTCCTACGCGGGAACAAGCAAGATGTCAATATCAAATGTCGCCTTCGTCAATTTTACGGGATGGGTGGATACTGAGAAGTCTGTGGTCTCGACGGTCTCATGCTCAGAGGTACACCCGTGCTATAATATCGACTACGACAACGTGGTGCTGTATCCAGGGAAGAATGCCACTACAGCTGGAACGGGGTCATGTAAATATACGGCCGATGGAGGCGTACATGGCTTGAGTGGATGCTGATCGGCTTGCTCGCTCAGGCAACAACTCACTAGATTTGTGTCGTATACGACTACACATTAGATGGGTCAAATTGCTGGCAAAATGATATTATATGCAATTTGACAAGACATCAGCGAGCGTATGAGTTGGTAGTCGGGATATTATGAGATAATGGTCCTACAGCATAGAGTAATCAAACAGCAACAGCAAGTCCTCCTTCATAGCTCGACATCATCAGCCAGGCTAGTACCTGTGCCTAAGCTATAAATGCCGAGCTCGATTGAGACCAGCAAGGCTTTTTCCTTTTCGTTTCAATACGGATATTCATTTTCGGAGCACCCCGTGGTCTCATGCCTCATTCACAGGCTGGTAACGCCCATTTAGATATGTCCCCATACACTGTCTAGATCTGGGGCGGTTGCGGGCTTTTCCATCCAGGAAGGCCAGATTCCTATCCAATTAGACAATTTATAGGCCGGTAACAGCCGTTTGGAGGCATTCACTAACACAAAGGTTCTGGGGCCTTAAATAGCTGGGCGCTTTCCCCTCCAGGATGGCCATATCCCAATCCTCTCATACAAACCATCTCTTCGCTCTTCCAGTAATACTCTAGTATCCCTTTCCACCAAGTCATCCAAAAATGAATAGAACTCTCGAAAGTTACGGTTTTGGAAGCCGCAAATTCCAGATGCCAAACGCGAATGCCCTGGAAAACTTCGGCTTTGATGAATATCCCAACTTCCAGGCCCGAGTTGAGCTAACAGTCAAGGAGATCCGAAGGCTCCCTAAAGCAGAGCCATGGCATGACACATTAGCGGCATTCGAGGATAGCCAGATTGTTCAACTGATGAACACTTACACCATCTCCACTTTCAAGGACCTTCTTAACAGCGAATCTCCGCCAACATTACGTGACCTCATGACGCTAAATTGGACGGACACCGACCAACCCGGTGCTTACTTGAAGATCATCTACCAGGACAAGATAGTAAATGCCGAAGACAAGCCGCATTGGTTGTATGTAGGCTCAGCAACCGGGAAATACAACAGAGGGCTCAGAGGACGAAAAAGGAACCATGAAACCAAACCCACCACGTCAATGTAAGCCTACACCAGCGGAGCAATGATTGATGCTTGCATCTGACAATTATGTCTTACCAAATAGGAAAAATTCGTTTCAGTACCAAGTCTTGCATCAGAAACTTGTTCCCAGGACTTGCAGGTTCGCTACACTGTTCATTATGCCATGGGGCGATGACCCAGATGCAGACCTCGTCAATTTTGTACGACCGATATGCCTGCTCGCAGAAGCAATATACTGTTCAATATTGGGGGGCTACGCACCGAAATGCCCCAGGCACCTACAGGATGCATGCGTGTATGGAGATCCTAACGAAGTCTTCAGTTGGTTAGGGGCATGCACGCACTCGTGCATGCTAGAGTCGCATCGACCCCACTGCGACCCTGACATGCAGTCAAGGAAATCATTTTGCATTAAGAGAAACCGAACAATGTACAATATCGATCTTCATCTCAGCCCCCACAAGGGCGAAGTCACAATCGCGGACGAACCAACAGCCGCAGATGAGTCGAGAGCGGATGAGATGACCGACGATAGCGAGATGACCAACGATAGCGAGATGACTGATGATGGGTTGACCGCCGATAGTGAAAGTAAAGACGGCTATGCCCTTGCCTCAACCAGCGAGTCGAACGCGGTGGACAACCAAGATGACTGCATTTGGGAGTACAATTTCTCAGAAGATGATTTCCATCCTGTTACGAAGCAGGCCACGAAAGTGGAGAGCTCAGTGGCAAAAGCCAAGCGGCTGGCTGCTGCCGAGAGACAACGGCTCTATCACCAAAAGTGGAGGGCCAGAATGTCACCGGAACAAGTGAAGCGCTTCCAAGAATACACTAGAGACGCCATGCGAAAGTGGCGGCAGGAGAACCCTGAAAAAGCCAAGAGAACAAAGGCCCAGAATATCGCACGGAGACCAAAAAGCAGGGAATATCAACAGAGGAGACGCAGAGAAAATCCGGGTATCGACAAGAAGTTGTACGATGCGCTTCCCGAGGAGAAAAAGGCAGAGAGGCGAGAACGCCGAGCTTTCACAGCGCGGGAGCGAAGAGCTAAGAAAAGGGCCCTTAATCCACCGAAAAAGCGGAAGATACTGCGGAAGAACAGGCGTCGAAACGAGAGAAGAGCCCTCCAAAGGGCAGTCGATCCTTTTCACAAAGAGAAGTCCAAGCTGCAGTCCCGCATCCTAAGAGCTAAAGCCAAACTAAAGCAAGCCAAGGGTGACCCGGAGAAGGTAAAGGAGGCGGAGCTTGCTCTGGCGATTGCCGAGGTTGAGCGCTATGAGCTCAACGAAGGTATCGGGTGCCGTTCCAATAAACTGCCATCGGACGAACAGTGGCAAGCAGTAAAAAGGCATCGGCTCAAATCCATCTGATGGCGATGGTGATAATGGTAGTGGTGCATCCGTAGTGAGAGAGGCCTTGCTAGTTGGACTGCACATTATCAACAAGTCGGTGGTTTCGGGGTAGTAAGAAGGCTTATGGAGATTCTGGGTACAAAATTGATGCTGAGATTGTTACTGAAAGTGTAGAAACTGCGTGGATGCTGTCGGAGAGTGCAGTGGGGATGAAACATTATATTTTGATCTTTGAAATAGTTGTTTTCATGGAGTGGTCATACAGGGAGCTGTATTTGTACACAATGGGATTTAGGCACCTTCCTAAAAGGGAAGGTAGGCGCTCTACTCCTACGTCTTCAGATCGCATGTGATTAGATCAGGATCATCTCCCTACAGACTGAATGTAATACGGTTTGATTCCTTTTCTTGCTTCTACTAGATAAGATTGAGCCTCTGCTTGATATATTCAAACGCCTGACGCTCCAGCCGAAAGCGCCTGGTGCACAGGGGAATGAGATCCCCAAGTGTTAATGATAGCGGTGCTGTGATTGAA